CGCCTCAGTGGATGTCAGTTATTTCATGTTAAGTGGCACAACCATAGTTCACTTCTATCTGCATCACAAGGTCTTTGTGAGTCTTTAAGGAATTAACATCCACAATACACCTAGATTATGGCCTGGATATAGAAACAGCAACTCATTATTACTGGTTTTACAGGGTACTCTGTGCTTTCTTTACCATAAGGAAGAAAACAGAGTGTCCTCACTTTCAGCTATGGAAAGTCAAGGTTTCCATCGTACATCCCAGGTCGTGACTGTTTATTGGGGTCCTCCACCTTGAAGCTATAGTAACATGGTGAGCAGGCGTCAGCCCAACAAGGCCATGTCCACAGAGGTAAAAGTGGAATATGATTTATTCCCTCCCCTCCGCTCTGTAGCTGGGATCATGATTTGGGGAATAGTCCCGGTTCCCTAGCCCACTTTCTCATTCTCCACCAAACAGGTTTTTTTCCCCACTTATCTCCAGTGCTTTTATTTTCCTCCCTCAACCCCTTCTTCTGTCTCAGGCCTCTCCCATCCTCTCATCCCACATGCCGATCATCTCAACTTTTCCACATTAAAACCATTTTGTAACAGACATCGACCCCTGTGAAACTTCCAGGCCATTAATCTAACGCGGCTGAGCTTTCGGAGCCCTCTGTGCAAAGGCCACGAGCTCATGTTTCTCTCACATCCCGTGTGAGTGGAACCTACAGAGATACATGTTGGACCAAGTGGTGAAGAAATCCACCTTTTATTATTTTATTTAAGAAATAAATTTAAAATTCAGCTCTCATGGATTGGAAGCAAACACTTTCTACCCTTAAACCTCTCTCCATGTTTATTGCCCACAATAAATTGAAAGAAAGAAAAAAAGAAAAAGCACCCGATGCAGTAAAAGCACCACAACAAAGCTAGAAGAAATATGTGAGTCTCGGCAGAGGCCAGATTTACGGTCAGAAATATGGAGTGTGTCTCAGCAGGGGCAGGTCATGAAATAGTATGAGCTAATATCGGGGGTGTGAAAACAGGTATTGTTGTTTAGTTAACTAAAGCCACACAATTAAGCGATTCTCAAAAATCAATTAGCCATAAGTTATAACCAAGATGACATGTTTTTACAACTTCTCCCTGGATGTTTTATGGCCAGAGGATGCTCATGTGGGCACTAGAACAGGAAAATAAAACATCAGCCTGAGAGTAAAAGTGCACCAATCCAGCCATGATTAATTAAAAGAGCGCAGTCTGGAAAGGAGCGAGTCCAGAGCAGGCAGCAAGGCATCTAAAGGATCGCTTCCCGGTGCCTCTTTTCTGTTGCAAAAAGCCACGGGTCATTTTTTTCTTTCTCTTTGTTTTTCTGTCCTTTTTTAATTTAGCACAGATACAGCTGTGAAAACTGGATATTCTATTTGAACTCCCATATTTATGCTTATAACTGATGGTTCCAAGGAAACGTCATTTTAAAAGCTTTCCATGGAAAATGAAAAACATATTTCTCAGGGGGAAACCCTGGTGGCATGCTGTTGTTAATGACAGATTTTGTTTTCCTGACTTCCAGGGAGCAAAAGATGAGGGCAGAGTTGTACCCCTTTTTCTGTTGCTTTTGAGACAGGTAAGAAATAGACACAAAAAGGATTTGAAGAGAGGCTGATAGAGAATGTGCGATGTGACCATTTTTACATAGCCACCATTCTTCTGCTTCCTGTACCCATCATCCAATGTGGGGTGCACACCCCCCTCCTTGGATTTTGGCTCTTCTAATGCTGTACTTGTCATGTGCCACTTCCATTCATCCAGACCTGGGATCACAGTGCAAGATTCCTCTCTCCTTCCTAGGACACTGTGAACAATCCTGGTTTCCTGCTCAGACACCCATGGCTCAGTGCCTCTGTTCTTCAACCAACAGGAACTTGACCACTCATCAAGTATCTGTGGCCACCCAGACCAGCAGACCTCACCCACCCCAGCTGCTGATCTGGACGTGAGCGAGCCCAGATAATCGCTGCTCTGGCCCTGAGCACAGCTCTGCAGCACCACTGGACATGTGAGAGTCACAAATAGCTGCTTAGGGGCATTTTCTTTCTAGGCAAAGGCCAACTAATGTACAGTCACCCAGGGGCAGTATTAGTTGTGACACTTCCACCCACTTACTTTAGCAAGATCGTCACTCTCCACTCACTGCACCAGATGTCACAGTCCAGCAGCTTTGCATCCCCTCAATTTACATACTTAAACATACAGAAGTGGGTAGTTTTGTGGGTGTGGTGGAATTTTGTTAGTCCTGGATCTTGGTTCTGGCTCTGACTAGCTGTATGATTTTACTTCTCTGAGCCCCAAATTCTTCTTCCTAACTTGAGGCTAATCCCTGCGACTGCTTCTCCTAGTGTGGTCCCTAGTGTGGAAACAGCAGCCGCAGCAGCATCTGGAAACTTCTTACAAATGCCAATTATCAGACCCAACCCAGACCTACTGAATCTTAAAAGTAGGAGGTGAATTATCTTTGTTTAGTCCTTCGAAGTGTCTGGAGCTCCCCAGGAAGATGCCGGAATGAATACTGAAGTGCCAAAGCTAAAGGGGAGCCAAGGACATTTGGACTTTGAAAGGTATTGTCTCTGCCCACAGGGGTTCGAGTCCAGGGAATACGGGCCAGTGGCATGTATAACTGTGAATGAGCAGACTGGAGTCTAGCTGAGTGTCAGAGACCAATGAGGACACAAGGCAAGCAGTGGCTTCTGCTTCCACTTAATGAAATGAGCCCCAGGGTCTTTGGAGACCTTCCCTGAATGGGGTCATTTGCTGAGAGCTTCTGATGGTAGATCTGGGGCTGGAGAGGAGAATGGGGCTGATCAGGGCGGCGGTGCAGTGCTGAGTTTACTTGGGTTTCTCCTGGCTTACGAACTGCAAGCACCTTCCCCCAGCCTGTCCCACATAAAATCTCTAGACCACATACCTGCCCCAGGCCTTTCAAGTGAGCACCAAAGGAAGGAGAAAAAAACACACCCTAGGCCCCCTGTAGGCTTACTTCTCTCCAGGCACTCTGCGAAGCCCTGGCATCCTTCCTCCTACCCGCTCCTTAAGAACCCCAAAGTTACACTTTATTATTCCACGTTACTATGAAAGATACTGAGGCCAGGAGCTACCTCCCAGGCCTCCTTATAGAACATATCGAGTCTACAGAGGCTCCCCTGTTCCCCCTGTTCCCACGGGGGGCCTCAGAGGGTACCCACTCTGCCTTCTCCCTATGTGAGTTTCGCCTGCCAGACTTCATATGACTGGAACCAAGAGCAAACACTCTCGTGCCACACGAGTTATCCGCGTTATATCTGTGAGGTTCACGCAGGTCAATACACGTAGTGATGCTGCGGTGGTGGCTTTATCGCCTGGACACACCATGATTTGCTTACTTACTCTCCTGCCCTCGGGCATTTGGGTTTCTGCCCGGTTTTTGACTATTTGAGGTAAAACTGCCACAAACAGGTTTGGCATAACTTTGGTGTGCCCAAGTGCCCCTTTCCGTTGGAGATGCACCCCAGGGAGTGCATGCTTGTCCAACTTCAGAAGAGAATTCTGCTCCCCACAGTGCCTGTGCCCCCTCCTCTCAACAGCAGAGGGCTAGAAGCGGAGTCATTGTGGGCCCAGCACAGAGTGGCTGAGTGTTATCAGTCTTTCTACTTTTACTCACTCTCGCAGGGGTGTTGGGGTATCCCCACACGTTTGTCATTTGAAATTCCCCCATGAGTTATGAAGATTCTGCTTTTAAACTCAGATCTGCCCGTATTCCAAACCCCACTCTTTGAGGCTCCCACCGCCAGAGCGCAACATGGCCCCCTCCTCCTCAGCACAGCCACCTGGCGAAGGTTCACCTTCTTTAAAAAGCCAGTCCCATCAGTGTAAAAAAATGATAACAGTACAAAACACAGCAAAGCAAAAATGGGCAATTATAAACCAGAGACATCCTGCAGGGGAGGAGGCCGGAGAGGGATCAGAGGGAGGGAGGGAGGAGCACAGGGGACTGAGGTGATGGTGCACGGGTGCACTGGGGAAGGAAACTCTATGGGGACTACACCTGAGGGGATGGGGGGAAGGAAACATTGTTTAAAAATGAACAATGATGTAAAAAATATATATAATAATATAAAAAAATAAAATAAATAAAAACAAATAAAAAGCCAGTCCCGCCCAGCCCCAAGGGCTGAAGAGCCACCCCTGTCTGGACACTGCACATGGTGGGGGAGCAGTTGTCAGGTCTGACATCCCCGGAACATTGAGAAAGCTCTGTAACACAGAGGTTGCCAAGATCGCTTCAGTATTCACTGCAAATTGTTAATAAAACCCAAGGAGCCCAAGACAGATGAGACTCGTGTGATTTCATTAAGAGAAGCACAGGCTTCTCGGAGGTGAGGTTGCAGCCGCTGCCCTGAGGACGGTGAGACATAATGGAGAAAGGCTTCCCCAGAGGAGGTGTGGGAGCAGGGTGAGTATCCCTGCAGGGGAGAGAGGGGGCAGAGGGAGTTGTGACCCAACGAGAGATTGTGCTGGCTTTGGAGAATCCATATAAACCTTCTGAAATGCACCCCCCCCCATCTCAGTTGCTACAAAGTCCCTGATTTCTACAGTGGAAAGAGCTTGCTTTTTCTGCTTGATAAAACAGAAACAATGACGTTTGCCTCCAGGTCACTGTTAAAGTAAACTTCTGGCCTTTCAATCCAGGTGAGAGGAGTGAGCAGGAAGCCAGGCTGTGACCTGAGCATCAGGAAATATATTTCAGAGATGAGGAAGGCAGGGGCTTGTGCTTCCACAGGTAAGGGTGCCCACACCCACTCTTTCTTATGACAGGAGGCCTCTGGCAGGGTCAGTACAGGGTCAAACCTTCTTTTCGGGACAGTCCCAGGTGTAGATGTTCCAGACAGGTGCAAAGCTGAATGGACGCTGTTTTCTTCTCATATCCTGAGAAACATGCGTTTGACTTGTGGAGAACTTCCCTGTATGTTGTTTTTCCAGGTGCGAAGAGAGCCTTGCAAAAATATCATCGGAGTGTATCCAGTGGAGTCAAAGTGGGACAACTTGGAAAGGTAAGGTTTGTGGAGACACCTGGGATACCTGTTAGGAACGTTAGGAACATAACAGGAACATACTTCTTCTCCAAAAAAAAAAAAAAAAAGAGTGGATGAATTAGCACAAATACATGGCTGAATGAGAAACTCCAGAAGCTTCTCTCAGGATGGAAGGGCACCATCGTCTGTTTTCTGTGTGACTTTGACTCCTCCTATCTCTACATCATTCCAATGAGAGGTGAGAAGTGTAAAATGTCAATCCCATTTCAATTCCGCAGCTTTAAAACACCCCATTGTTCCTTATTGCCTGCAGAAGCAGATCTGTGTTTGGCATAGAAACCTTCCTTGTTCTGACCTTCCTCCCTGTCCCACCCTCTCTGCTGTCCCATCGCCCTGGCCTGCCTCTCACCCAGCAGCCCTCGCCCTTCTGGCACAGGGTGTTGCACCCCTCATTACTTCTTCTGGGAACACCCTTTCCTCCATTCTAGACTAGCAAATTCCTGCAAAGTCTTCTCTCCGAGGCATCCAACACAGCCCCCTGCTGTGGCTGTTAGCATCTTCTGCTGTAATTATTTGTATGTCTCTCCCATTACACTGTAAACTCCCCAGGAACAGTGATAAAATACTACTCTTTTACAGGCTTTCCTCCTGCCATTTAGTGCCTGGCCCATAATAAGTGCTTAGCAATGTTGGTTGAAGATTTTAAGTATTTCCCTTTTGAAATAATGAGCAGATGGGGGAAAAAAGTGTGGAACATGTTCTGCACCTCCCCCCCTTTGCTTTTCAGGGCCAGAAAGGGGAACCTTGGGCTTGCTTATCTGAGGATATGGCCTTGAGTGCATTCCATCAATTACTATATCCATCCTCTCTGGTTTGGGTGGGACTTGGCGGGGCTTTAATTGCATGCCTGCTTGTTTGGGGTAGGGAACGAGGTCCTGGGATTTCCTTTTCTGTAGCGTGTGGCTGCCATGATCCCAGGTCTCCTCATCCAGAGGACAGAGGCCTCCATCTGCACTCAGGCACATGGGGTCATTAATCACTCCCACCACCTGATTAAAGGAATTCTCCAGACCAGGAGAAAAAAGCATGCTATAAAAAGACTTTGAATTATAGAGTCCCTCTGCACCAATACTTCCAAATCAGGCAATTTATTGCAAACAACCAAAATCTCATTCTCAGGCCATTAACTAAAATAGGAAAATATCATCTTAAATTCTAAAAATAACAAGGGACACATTGTAATAGGTTTTCAGGTCTGGACAAATGGATGGGTGCTTAACATGATGGAAACCTCAAGAATTTGGAACCCAATTTTTCTTTTCCAAACCCTCTGACTTGGCGCCCACCATCTCTAGTCTGACTCCACAGCCTGACTATTTCATCTCTACGGTTTCATAGTTGCAGGGCCTCCCTGGGCTGTGGTGGAGGATGTGGGTGCTAAGGTGGTGGGCGTGGTGAGGTAACACATGAAGAGGTGTGAGCCTATATCCCTAAATAATGTACAGTGTTATAAACCAATGTCACCTCAATAAAAAAAAATTACTATTAAAATATTTTAATAAAATTATATTTTACAAACCTCAAAAAAAAAAAAAAGATTCAGGAGTGAATCCTGGAAATAAAGTCCTTTTTGATTTCACTTAGTTAAATAAATTCACTTGCTATTTGTAAGTGCCCTGCCTAAGGCTCCTTTGCTATGTATTTATTTTGCTTTTGTAAAAAGAGTCACAATTGAGCAGAGGAGAATGAATCCTGATGGGCGTGTGCAAGAGGCCTAGCCCCATGTCTGAAGCTGTCCTCAACACCACGGATGCCTCTTTAGGGCCAAATCCACAAGCCTTCTCACCTTCAGAATGGGCCTGGCTTGGCCTTGATCACTTGTTGAGGAGAGGACAGTAGACACATCTGGGCCTGGGTGTCTTCTTCCAGAGGCCACCAAATCAGGAGAGCCAGCCTTGGATTGAGAAGTGACACCTTGCAGCGCCAGCTCTAGAAGCAGCTGTGGTGGGTGAACGAGGGCAGTGTGGGGGTCCAGCCACCCTCTGATGAAGGGCCTCCCTGGGGGCCTGGTTGACTCCCATGAGCCATAAGCTCCCTGGGAGCCTATGGTCTGGTCCAGCCCACCATACACGCCCTGGGATGCCGGGGGCTGCCCCTCAGCATGCTGTGAATACCCTGGCATGTTCCCCAACTGCGGTGCCCTCACAGCCTCCCCAGGGAAACAGCACCCAATGCCCCTTCCTCAGTCACTTTCCCAGTATGCCCTCTTTGCAAATCCCCAGACTCAGAAATGACCTTTGTTCCCTTGTCATGTGGAGGGAAGGTGGTAGAGATGAAATTATCGATGCAATGTGTCCACACTGAGGAATAGTGAGTGATGTGTGATGCAGTCTTCTGGGACAGATATTTCCTAGTAGACATGAAGTAGTAGGAGATATTCAGTATTTTGAGGAGACTGGAATGAAGAGTCTTCTCCCTCATGGCTACAGGGAAAACCTCTGGAGAGGGAATAAAAGAAGATGAAATTATTTTATGATACTCCCCTTGAAGAAGGAGTGGTTCTATGCCCCCACAACCGCCCCTCCACCCTGCCCTTCTGCCTCTAACTTCTGATCAGTTTTTTGAGTGTGAGGGAGGCCTGAGCTGCCAATTCATCCTGGTCAGTAAGTCTTACAATTTAGTTGAAGCAACACTGAGTCTGGGATGCTGCTACCACCTGTTCTCCTTCCTAAGGAGGAGAGACAGGTGAGAGGAAGGTTGGGCGAAAGCCTGTACCCAGGCCCACAATCGCCTGCTCCTGGGCGCTGCTATTGTGGGACCAGCCACCAACCTGGTCTGGTCCACTGGGCCCTATAGTTCCTTCCAGCATATCCTCCAGGTACTTTCAGCATGCCAGCTCAGTCAAATCACCCTCATTTAAAGTGTTTCTTATGAAGACACATGATTATTTTTACTCTAACCCAAACTCATTATTATTTAAAAACTCTGGAGACCCCACTGTGGGGAACTCTCTAATCTCACCTCCTAGCAAACTTTGCTGCACTCACTGAGTTCCACTCCCACCAGACACCAATTGCTCCTGCTCTTGCCTCCACCTTCCCATGTTCTCTTCGAGAGGGCTCCTGCACCACAAACTAAGCTAACTCTGAGTTGACACCTCCCTGCTCTCTGTGGTTCTCCTGGGCCCCCCATGGGTGCTGTGGGCTCAGCCTGGAAGTACTCCCCGATGCTAAAGCCAAGCAAGTAGTTCTTTTCAACAAATTTCTCTGTCATAAGGCATAGACCCTGTTCAGTGTTCATGAATGTGTAACCCAGAGGTATAAGAAAGCCAACAGGAGCCATATAGAAGTTCATGTGCTGTCATGAAAATCTAGTCACTGACTTCATCATTGCCATCATCATTACCACATCATACCCTAGCCCTAACATGCACACAAGTGTGTAGATACACATGCACATCCATGCACACACCTAGACTTGTGCATGCACACATACACACACCCATCTCTAAGATCCTCCTGGACCATTCTGAAACCACTACTCTCGCCCATGAGTCTCCGCCTGGCCACTTACTGGACTCCTGACTCGGTCCTCAGCCTTCCTCTTTTGGATACTTGTTCGAGCATGTCTCAGCATGTAATCTTGGGCATGATGCTAATAATCACCTTGTCACCCAGCATTGTAATGTAGTGGACACGTTCCTGGGAATAGGGCTGGGTTCTGCTGCCTGCCACTACCAACAAGCCAATAAGCAGAGATAAGAAGAGAGTCTATAAGCACTTTTGTTTCTCATATCATTGGTCATTGATCTAGGAGAACCGTGGGCATAGAACCCTGAGGAGACTGTTCTCCCATGGCCAATGATCTGAGAGAATGGCAAAACCATTCTGCATCTCATCTCGAGCTGGCTGTTTTATAGTCAGTTTAACAAAACAGTCAAAATGAATTGGTTCAGGGCCTCCCTGGTGGCGCAGCAGTTGAGCGCTGCCTCAGCAGTTCCAGTTCAATCCTCGGCTGCCGGCGAGGGTCACACATGGCTCGCAGACCTCTCCTGCCATGTCTGCTGCTCCCCTCACCAGTGTATTTTGTCAGTCTGCCTGTTCTGCTCCCCACTCTGGCTCTGGTGGATTCTCTCACCCTCCCGCACTTCTGACTGTACCCAGTGCTTGTATAAATAAATAAATAAATCTTTTATAAAAAAATGAATTGGTTCAGCAGAACAGCCCATCATAGTTGGTGTCCTTGGTATTTGTCATGTTCAGCCTCCCTGTTCTCTGGACCTTGGTGCATCCTGGCCTGCTTGGTTAATTTCAGGTAGCTTCAATATCTGGCCCTCATTTAGCAATCATTGGGGTAGGAATCCCAGTTCAAAGCAAGAGTTCTAGTTTAGACAGAACAGATCATTGGTCATATAGTGTATGCGCAGCCTGTGCATGTGGGTATGTGCGGATTCCTGTCCTGGGTCTGGTGTCCCGCCATTCTCCCTTAACCCCTATCATTCAGACAATAAAAACAAAGCAATTCAAACATTCTAAGACAAATGACTGCATTGCTGATACTTCCTAAATAAAATAACAAACATGAGCAAGGATTTGAACATTAATTTGGCACTTTTGACAGAAAAGACAGAATGATAAATAGCCAACAGAGATGATAACCTTTGTGGCCCTCACAATGAAAAAGAAGATGGTTAAATCTTACATTTTTTGGCCATCCCAGTGATCTTTCCATCCAATGGATTATAGATTGCTTGATTCATCTGTCTAGCCGTCTGTCCTAGGGATGGTTTGAGACATAACTACCCGTCAATTTCATTCTAAGGCAGAGCCTAAAACAGTTCCATGTTTATGAAATCTTAGCAGGACATGTTCTCTTTTCCATATTTTCTGCTTTTAAGAGAAGATGCCCAAGATAAGGCAGGGAGGGGCCAAGTAGTGACGGCCGAGGTGAAGGTGCTATGGCACTGTGTGTGATTGGTAGCAAACATGGAAGGAAGAGCTGCTGAAACTTATTGGAGTCTTATGATCCTGAGCACACCTGCTTCTCTGTTTTCTTTCCCATAAAACCTTCTTTTCAGAACTCACAGACATGGTCTTCTCTGGCCCTGGGATGATGGGCATCATTTTGGACTAGGCAGGCCCCCCCCATTGCAACGTCATGGGGGAGGGCTCCTGGTTTAGAGTGATGAAAGCCTCAAAGCAGTGGGTCCTTGGCCTCCTTGCTTGGGACGGGTCACACAGGCAGACCAGGCTTTGAAAATGCAGGGGGTTGTCTGGCCCTAGTGTGTGGGTCCAGCCACCACGGAGACAAGGCAGCAGAAAAGATCTCCTGAGCCCACATGAGTGAGCATTCTCTCGGGTCCTCTTAAAATTCAGACTATAAAAAGATGGTGGTGGTCTGACTCCCGTTGCACATTTGGGACAAACATTTATCACGCTGAAGGGCTAGGGAGGCTGTTGTTTTGATCTCCTGTTTACATAGTCCTTGCTGCCGCAGCGTGCCAAGGAATCCATGTCCCATGCAGCCTCGGTGACCTCCTGGGGCCGGCATTGTCTCCTTGTGCCTGTTCCCGCCACATGTGTTTTTGCAGCTTTCGCAGTCTCCGCTCACGTGACTCGGTGGCCCTGGCTCCCTCTCGCTGGGCAGCAAGTGCACTCGTGGAGAAGTCTGTCCCTAACATCTGTGCCCAGCAGGGAACCAGGGCTGCTTGCCTGCTTAAGACTCTCACTATTCTAAACAATATGCTGGGGGCGTGGTATTTTTTCTTTCTTTCTTTCAAATTTCAAAGCACATTGTGTCTTCCAGATGGAGAATGCCAAAGTTGAATTACAAAATAAGAGTGGCCAATATGATTGCCTGGCAAGTTCCATCAGGGCCTTAAATGCTTTGCATGCAGTATCTCAATTAAACCCCCATTTTATAAATGAGAGACATTGGAGACTACTGAGGTCACACCAGGGCCAGTGAGTGGTGCTGCAGGGACGCCAGCATGGATCTAGGTCTGATCCTGAGCCTTTTTCTTGACTACCACATCTTAAACTGCTTTCTCCCACTCCTGTCACATCCACTTGTCCTGATGTTGCACCTCGGCGTGCCCTGTTTTATCTGTTCTGAGAGGCCAGAGTGGGCTGCAAATTTCTCCACGTGTGGGGCCTCAGAGACAAAGCTCCAGTGTCTCTCCTGCGGTCACAGGGCTTAGCTGATCCCCTGTGGTGGGAACATCGAGACCTGCAGACAGGCTTAGTATTTCCTCCTTCAGATGGCGTCCTGCCCTAAGCCCAGTGCTCGGAATCCCTGCAATCAAAAGCAGATGTGCTATCATGGAATCCGAAGCTCTGGGGTGAGCTGTGACCTTTGTGATCACATGGCGTTCATCCCCGAGGGCCCTGCTCCAGGCTGCTCTGTGAAACTTCCCCCACCTATTCACCCTGACGAGTTCTAAATATCTGGATTACAGACATTTCTGCTCTGGTCCAAATGAGGAAATGCTCTTATTCCCTTAAGAGTCTGATCACTTACCATCTTCAACCTGATTTCTGTGTCTTTGAACTTTAATATCCCCTCTGCACCACCGCCGTCTATGTGTTTAGGAACACCATTAAAGGCTGAGCTTGAAAACATTCAATACTTCTTTGAAGCACCTGGGTCCTTTCGGTAGGGACATACTTCCTGAGAAACATTGTGAAACATTTGCACTACTTAACCATCTTTGTCAGCAGCAAACATTTATTCAGAATCTACTAAGTACTTATGAGAGTTAACATGGGAAAAGATGATTCAAATATACAAATATGTTTTAAAAATATGCATATGATGTTTATTAGGCATTTTGTGGTAATCATTTCACACTGCATACAAACATCAAATCACTATGATGTAGACCTGAAACTAATGTTATGTGTTATATCTCAGTTAAAAAAATAGGTAAAAATGATCATGCATGCTTGGCCTCCAGGAACATATGAAGGGGACAGACCTTAACATTCTTACTGCTGATGTGAGGCCAAACCCAGGAGCGATGAGCTAGGACAAAAACAACGGTTTCTACCTGGGTGGGATGGAAGCACTTCATGGAGCAGTGACCTGTGACATTCCAGTTGATGATGAGTGAAACTTCAGTGGGTATAAAAATCACCCACAGAGGATGTTTTCCAAATGGGGGAAGAACCCAATGCATGGTGGACTGAGGAGTAAAAGACATCCTGCCCTACCCAGGAATTAGAAGGGTGATTGCACTGGGGGAAGTCAGGGGAGGGGGGCACAGGAGGGGCTATGTCAGTCTGGCCTCCAGAGGGTCCTGCAGCTCATGAGCTGGTCTCATCCACTGCTTCAACCTCCAGATTGTGGCCTGCTCAGAATATGGAAGCCATGGGTTGGTCGGGTTGCCTTGGCAGCAGTGTGGGTGCCATGGCTTCTTCTCTGGGCCATCATGTTCTCTATATGAAGAAAGAAACTTCTTTCTTAGGCAAGTAGTCCCATCTGATTGCCTTGTGTGCCCTCTCTGTAAGACCAGTGAGCACATGGCCCTGCCGTACTGTCTCCTCCCCTTCGGCCAGGCCCAGTAACAGCCTTGTTTCTCTCCACTCTCACAAACATTCTCTCTGTTTCTACTATGGCATTTCATTCATCCATCATGAGGATTTACAGGCCCACCTGTCTGCTTCACTTAAGTGGGAACTTTTAAGAGAGGGATGGTTTCTTACTTGTCATGCCCGCCTGGGTCACTTAAGACTGTGTTAAAGAGAGTCATTTATTCAAAATCATTGCTGAGACCAAAGGAGGCATACAACAATGTGGGCGGAGGACAAGAGGCTGGTGGGTGAAGAGTATGTCATTTTCTATTTCCAAGGAGGACTCAAGGCCATAAACATGAAAAACTGCTGGAGTCTCAAGGTGACAACTGAGACAGGGAAAAGCTATTAATGGGGCTCTGGCCCCGCTTCCAAGAGTTCTTCCAGTGGAGACAGGCTCTGAAAGTACATATGACCACTTTTCCCAAGCTAAAGATAAACATGGTGGAATGAATGCTTGGAAACTCAGCTTCAGGTCAGCCACAGTGGCCATGGGGAGATAGCAAACATTCATTAAATAGTTTCTAGGGATAAGACATTCAACTGGCTGCCATTAAGAGTGAGAGAAGAATTAATCAGGCCCAGATGAAATAAAGTTTCAAAGTTCCCAGGAGGACAGATCGAGCCCTAGGGAGTGTTAAGGAGGGAGAGTGTTTTCCAGCGTGGGAGAAAGAATTGGGCACTAAACTATGGCAAAATGTGTTTGAATATTTCTAAACCATTTTCCTCTTTTGCCATGATATTATTAGTTGGCACATAACTCTGTAAAGCCTGAGAAAATTAATCTCAAATCAGTGTGGTAGAATCAACAACTATAAATGAAAACTGTCATTGCGTACTAATTTAAGAACTCACAAATTCTTAAACTGAAGTTTCTTAACCTCAGTGCTATTGATATTTTTGTCTAGATTTCTTTATTGTTTCATAATGCTGTTACTAGAAGCCATACTGATCATTGTAGGGTGTTTAGTGACATCCCTGCCTCTATCCACTAGATACCAGTAGTGCCTGCACCCTAATTGTGACAACCAACACATATGTTGTCAAATGTCTCCTGGGGGGCCATGTCACCCTGAGTTGAGAACCATTGTCCGAAGCTCCATCAGAGAGCATGCCTACCTCTCCAGATACCTCCACGCCCTGCAGACACCAATTCTACCACATCTTCAGCTGCTACTCACTTTAGCTCAGATGTTGCCCAAGCACAGCAGAGGCAGTCTCTGTTCACTCTGCAGGCACCATGATCTCTCAAAAATCTCCCCACTCAGCTCTAGGTTCCTATGACTACCTCCATGTGCATTCCAAGGTTACCACCCAACTTAGAGGTCACCCACTGTGGCCATGGTGCTCACTCACTCAGCCCCAGTCTTCATTGTCATGGTGAAATGCCCATTTAGGGATTAACTTCCCTCATGGAATGCATGCCCCCCCCCACCCCACAATGGCTCTGTTTTACATTAGAAGAATTGTATGCTAGGCCTCAACTTCTCTTATCTATAAAAGAGCAATTAGAAAGAGCTGGTTAAACTCCCATCAGTGTCTCCTGGCTCTAGTTTGCCAGGAAGGAATAAAGGTGAGTGTTGTGTTCTTAGACCAAATCCTCTTCTCACCAGCAGTAGCTGCTCTGAGCAATTGGGCCTCTAGGAAGATTAGTTCTGAGCAGCCCTTTCACACAGAGAGGAGCCCTTCAACTTGGTCTGTTTTGGGGGGCACCCATAATTTCCAATGTCTGTTAGATGCTTAGACCCGCAGACAGGCCAGTTTTCATGCATATAAAAGCAATACTAGATGGAGGTCCATATATTTTCACAGAAATCCTGGCAAAGCTTCCAGCTGTTTTGCATACATCATTGGTTTGCTCTATCAAGCCTCCCAAACAGGAGAAGCCATGTCTCCCTCTCATACTTTGACATTTCAATGGGGCATGGAGACTGAAAAACCCTCAGTGTGTTTGCCAAGGACAGAGATGTATTTCACAGATCTTAAGGGGCCATGAAAAGAACACTCAATAACCCTTAAAAATTCCACACAGTGTGAGATGAAGTCCATGATGCTTTTCGGGTTGAGGCACTACTGCTTACTCAGCTGAAATGAGTTGACCAGCGCGAGTGCCAACAATAACAAAGAAAGTGTCATCTTCTGAAAAATTCCTTCTCTTCTCTATTCCTCCAGGTGGACAGCTACTGGGTGTCACAGACCCAATTTCCTAAAGTGGAGGCAGCTGCTTCTGGTAGCCTCGATGCTTGAGTGTAACCACTATGGACTTGAAATGCACCACCACCAAGAAGGAGCAGTGACTTGGGTTGCATTTGGTTTCAGGTGAATCCTGGCTGGTTCTCTCTGGGACTAGGAGTTCCTGGCCCAGTCTCCAGGTATTGAGAATGACCATCAAAGGTGAGTTTATGAGCAAGTGCTGCCATGTGGTCTCAGGTACCTATTCAAATCTGTAGTTGCAAATGTAACTTACATCCTTAAAACCTGTATTTCATCATTGTGGAAGTAGGGGTCCTGGTTATGTTAACAGTCATCCTCATCATAGAACTGTGAGATGACTGAGTTGGACGCTGCATGTGCAATGTTCTCAGAACTCCAGAAATATCAGATGTGTGTGTTTAGAACATGCATAATGTTTTTAGGTGGATGATGCCCCTAAACTTTCTGATATCATTCATGTTGTTTGGGATAGAGGCTGCTGCAAGAAGGAAGAGCAGATTGTAAAAAGTTTTTGTGCCAGCAAGCACAGGTAAGGTTATGTATCTATTCAGGCAGACAGGTAAAGGAGAGCCCCGGAGCCCTCCATGGCTTTTTCAGGCTTTAATGCTCTTTCTGTGCCAACTATTGTGGGGCAAGCCCACAGCCTGGCAAGGCAGGGAGGACAGGGAGCCGGGAGGCTGGCAGACCTATGTTTCCTTAATGTGCATGCTGACTGATAAAGAATTATATTACTCTTTTTCCACTTGTTGCTAGGAAACTCAGTGGCCCACCTCTAACTGGGTTATAGCGTCTCCTGGAATGCATTTCACCTGCCCATGCAACTTTTGATTTTTTCTATTTTCCTTATTTACAGTATCCGATTGCAGTTCTTTAATGTTTTTTACAATAGCTATTATATTTTTAAAAGTCACTTTAGAATGTTTTAGGATTGAGAAATCCATGAAATAGTTTAAAAGATAAATACAAATAATACATTATTTATAAAAATCAACAAACAAGAGAGGAACTGAGAATGTGTAAGTTTATGTGCAAGCACAGCATGAGATGATTCAGAAAATCTTTAACAGTGCTGATTAGATGTCTGGAACATCCGACTCGTTCCAGACATGATGCTTTCAGAATAATGACTGACAACCTCAAACACATCTGAAAAGAAAATATGGAATTGTCTAGAAGGGTTGATGAAGTACTGAAGAAATATGATTTACCTGGAAAAGTTAAGACTTGGGAGAATAATCTAGAATCCTTTGTATTTTTGCATAGCCACCACCAGGAAGAAAGAACACAATGAATCTATCTCAAATCAAGGACAGATTTAGATCCAATGGTTGGCAGCCAAAGATTTCAGAATAATGTAAAGAGCAGTTTCAAACAGTGGAATAAAGGCATCCAGCAATGTATTGGGGAGATGGGGGCAATGAGAGAGCAGAGCTTGCACTGCAGGGTGTGTGGGGTATTTTTCTCAAGGTTCTCCTTCCAAAGGGGGAGTCGACTCATCACTCTTTTGGCTCTGAACAATTTGATTTCCCTCCTGGGTCCCATTGTCCTCATGCCAAATGGCACATCGATGACCCTGTGGGCTTGATGAGCTAGGTGTCCCTTATTTGCAGAACACTTTCTATTAGGCAACGCATCATTTTCTAAAGTAAACATTTACCAAGAAATGAAGTCAGCTTGACTAGGTAAAGCACTATTGTGAGACACTCCTGCGACAGGGTGATGGATGTTGTTTGATCAGACAGTCGTGCAGCCCACTGCTCGGTCCCATTCTCTCCTTTCCACCAGGGGAAGAAGAAAAACACATCCGTCTATGGCATATTGCAGACCAAGACAAGGTTCCCTCGTTATTGCAGTAGGACCAACCTGGAGCAGAATGGCCAGGGGAATGAGTAAAAACAAACCGAGGAGAGAGCAGGGCAGCACGTTGATGAGGAAACCAAGAGGAAATGGAGTCAGCAAGGACTCCTGCATGTTTATTTCAGCGCTGAAGGAACATGGACCAAACCGGATGGAATTTCTGATTTATAAAGTATTTTAATGACATTACCTATTTCATATGATATCGGAGGCTCTGCTCTTTGAGCCAGATAAATAAACAGCAGTCTCCCAAGAGCTTTGGTCTAGATAGAAGAACATAAACGCTTACAATCTTCCTGCACTTAACCAAGATGTCTGCCAAAAGTTATTCTAGGAGTTTTGGACTCTCAGAGCTGGATATTGTGTATGGGGAAGGTGAGGGCCACACAGAACATAAACATTGCTATTCTGTATGTTTTCAAAAGGTGAAGGTTTTATGGTTTGACCAAAATCAACAAAAACATCACTGCCTGCTGCTACAGAAAATGTGTTTCTTCTTTTGTCTGTGTAATGGCTAAATAGCTCCACGAGGGCACAGCCAGTTCCTTAAGTGGACAAGATTCTACCAACCTATATAATCCCATGGCTCCCTGCCCTTCTTTGGGAATTGCAGGCTGACAGAATCTCCAGGAGCACAGGTCTGCCTCTTCACTTCACGTTTGTTTTCTTTTTTCAAAGAAGTTAATTCTTTCACTTGAGCAGATGCCAGTTCCAACTGAGAGCTCGCCTGGGGCTTTTCTGGCTCCAAATAGCTGAACTGAGTCATTGTTAGCAGTGAAGTAGTAGGCTTTATGCTAAACATGTGTTACCAGCTTGGAGTACACTCCTCCTTTGGTGTGTACCTGGAAGCATTGGTGTGTGTTCTCTCTACCTGTGCACTGAATGTAGACAGGTGCTTGGAACCTGCTGGCTGCTCAGCCATGCTATCCCCCAAAGGGATTCATGTGGATGCATATCATCTACTCTTCAAACTCCTCTAGTAAAGTCCCATCTGCCTTCCATGAACTGATTAAAAACTCAATGTCAGAATGTTTATAGCATTCAGTAGAGTGAATGCATGTCAAATTCATTGTTCCTCATGTCCTAGAAGCAAGGCAGCTCCCTAGCATTGTACTGGCCCCAAGCTGTCTCCTGGTAGAAGCTCGCTGAAAGGCGGACGATGACCAGCAGCTCATGCTAAAGCACTGAACAACCTAACCCACCTCCACTTTCTGTTGTAGCGATGTTAGCCCTTTATTTTATGCCAGAATCATGAATTACTATTCCTGATAAATAAGGACTTAAGGTACCAGCATCACCACTGGGATAAAGACAAAAGCAGTAGATTATTCCCATTTCCCTCAGTAAAACAGGTTAGCTGAATCCCTCCCACTCCTTTTTTTAAAATTGTGGTAATACATACATACTAGAAAACCTACCACCTTAATGATTTTTAAGCATGCAGATCAGAGGTTGGCAAGTGCATTCATATTGTTACAACCATCACCAACATTCATCTTCTGAACTCTTCAATTTCTAAAACTGAAACTCTGTACCCCTAAAACAATAATTCTTCATACCCCTCACCCCAGCCCTGACAAAACTCCTTTGCATTTTCTGTCTCTCTGATTTGAACACTCTAAGTCCCTCAGATAAGTGACATCATACACATCTGTTGTTGTGTGACTTATTTCACTTAACATAGCATCCAGGATGCATGAATCCCCACTGTTTTCCATGCAGGATGCAAATGGTGCCTACCTCTCTAGCACCCCCATATCCTAGCATCCTTGTCTCAAGCTGGAAAGAAGTCTGACTGGCTTTTTTTGAAGGTTGAATGGTGCCTCATTATGCTGTGAGCTAAACTATGCTTATAAAAGTAGGATTTTGCTACATAACTATGGAAAATATAAGCTTAAGCAAATAGGCATTTCCCCATTCATGTTAGAAGGTCAAGTTCGCTAAAAGGAAAAAGTCTGGGTAGATCAGCTGGTGGCCCAATTAGAAAGCTTGGAGACTTTCTGATCCCATGTTTTCATTCTCCCAAATGAGGGAAATCAGCAGCTGGGACGTATGTAGCCTGAGGGTCTGGGAACAAGGCGCAGGCCATCTGGTCTTTCCTGCAATGGAAGGTTGAGCTTTTTTAGTTGCTGAAGCCACAGGATTGAAGAGACTTATGGAGGAAACATGTATTTCCATAGTCTCTGCATCCACCATTACCCACCCAGCCAGTTGGGGCCCAGATGAGCCTGACTGCAGATACTGGGTAGAACCAGAGGGCCTCCTGATTACACTGCTGACAATGTCCTCTCTTTCCTCTTTTCTATCCTGTGGAGATGGGGCTCTGATTCTTTGATTTCTACCAGCTCAGGTGGTAAAATCTCCCCAGCCCCTGTTCGAACTGTTACCCTGCTATGGCCTCTGAGATGTGGGCCAAGGCAGCATCCCTAAGCACCAGGAACAGATGCATAAGCTGATGAGAAAAGTCATCCAACTGCAGGCTTCTCTAGAATCAAGGGGTCAAGTGAGCCTCCTCTGCAGCTCTGAGGATCAGCACTCCAACCCTGGGCAGGTGTTGTGTTGCAATCAGTGCGATCCAGTGCAATGGCCTGACCCAGCTTGCTCCCTGAACTCATCCCATCACTCTCCATGAGCTGCCCATTGGGAAGACAGGCAGGGAGCAGAGACCTCTGAGATGCAGTGCCTGCTTTCTACCTTGATGTCAGCTTGGAGTGGGATGCTTATGGGAGCACACAGCAGAGGGAGAAGTGAGGCAGAGCGTGTCTGGCACCAACCAGACCCCTTTCAGGAAAGACGGCCCGGGTCTGTGCTCAGATGGGAAACGGGCCTCCAGAGAGCATATGAGGAAGAGCTAGAGGCCGTCCCTTCTCAGCCCAAGTCTCTCTTTCTCTCTTGACTGAATCAAGCTGGACCTCCGTTGTTGCTTTCTTCAACCAAACCCACAAATTAAATCATGCTGAACTAATATCCCTAATATCCAAAAATCCATCAACAAAAATTAGGTTGTTGCTTGAAAAATTTCCCCCCCCAGGGGAGTGGGTGTGTTTAACAGTATTTCATAAATTATCTACAAGGAAATCTGAATCTTCCTTGTTCTTAGACGAGTCCTACAAAGACAGCAGGACACATATGGTCTCACACTGTGTGCGTGTGTGTGTGCTCGCATGTGGAGGCTCCATCCCGGCCCTGGTCCAGTTGGTCAGCATTTCAGAAAGAAACCTGACCCTCCCCATGACTAGTCCATTCTCCTCCTCCCATGCTGAAATTTTCACTGGGCACATTGCAGGATCTCTTTTCTATGATTGTTTTCTTGATAAACAGTCTATACACAGTGTTTGAATTTTTTAATGGTTTCATTGCTTCATAGTTCCTGGGAAAACAATGCCATAGGGGGAGCCTGAAAAATGAAGCTAGAAATAATTGGGGAGTGAATAAGGAGTTGCTTTTATTCTTACTCCTTGAATTCCAGGAAAGTGGGGACGTGGTACAGGCCTGTGCAGAACGAGCGCCTGGCAGCCGGCCCAGCACACAATGGGACCACGAGAGGGTCTCCAGCTCCCCTAGCAAGAAGGACAATGGGAGGCAGCAGCCATCCTGGCCCCATAGAGCGCTGAAGCGCAGACAGCCAGCTTGACAGGCACAAGCTCCATTCTTTATACCAGAATAAGGGCTCAAATAAAGATCTGGGCAATAGGTCCAAATTGCAGAACATATTTTTATCGGGGGATTTGCCAGATCAGCTCCCTTTGCAGAGTAGAACCTGGTCCTAGGAGAAGCAGCCACATCAGGGAGCCCAAGAACAGACTGAAAAGGACCTTGGGACTTGAGCCCTGCTTTGATCTCTTGCCAGAAGTGTCACTGGACCCTTGCAGTCCTCCTGTTTGACCCAGTGCTTCACCTGAACAGTCAGAGGAACAGTTTTTCTTTGGGGGAACATATATACAGTCATGGAGTAAGTGTGATAACATAAAAACTGAGAATTGAACATCTGAATGGATTAGCTACTGGGTCAGGGTAAAGCAATGACCCTTCATGCCCAGGAGCTCCCTGATACGGAGGCCTCCCTATGGGGTTGGCACCCCTGAGTCATGGGATCAGACACCTCACAACATAAGCTCCAACATCCTTCCCTTGGCTACGCCAAGATCCCTCATATGTGGGCACACCTCATCATGGGCCTATGTTTTGTTTCACACATATTTGTTTCATATCTATTTTTGAAGACCAGATGCTTTAGGAAGAGTGTGGTATGCACAGAATTGCATCCAAGCCATCCCAGGCACAGAGTATAGCATTAGAGCAGGAACTAAAGCAGAAGGCAGGGAAATTGAGCTCTGTGAAGCTCCAATGCAGGGGAAAGGAGTGAGGCAGCACTGCAAATGTGCTCACAGGACAGAGCTGCTGGCACTGAAGGGTACGGATGGAGACTGAATATCTGATCAGTCATAGTCCTCCCAACCCCCAAAGCTCTGCTATGGAAACTTCTCTACACCCCTCACTTCTTTGCTTAGTATCTGATTTTTTTTTTTTTTTTTTTTTTTGCTTGTCTTTATGGGCCTGACAAGGGCAATTGGAAAACCAGTCCATTTTGAATGGTCCACTCAGGCCCTGAGCCTCTTCTAGAAGATTCTGTTTCCCCGGGTTTGCTTAATTGGTCTGGAATTTTTGTTCCTGCTCCCAGAACATTAGGGCAATGACAAACTCAGAGTGGGCTGGGCCTGTTAGAGCAAAGACTGGGTCTGTCTTGCCCACTACTGTGTTCCTGGGGCCCAGGACAGCATCTGGCACAGTGTCAGTGCTCAACTAGCATTTGCTGACTAGGCAAATGGGCATTTGGGGCTGCTCATTTCCTTGGGCCTTGGAACTGGCAGCAGATTTGACATGGCCAGCCCTATGGAGGTCTTTCCAGGTGCATCTAGAACCTGACAGGTCACGTCTTTCTTCACTTATTACTTCTTTTTAGGTAAATTGGAAGACTTTAGTTTTCTCCCTGGGTTTCTACTGACACTTAGAAACCCTATGTCAGCATGTGTGAGGTGAGGTGGTTGTTTTGTAGGATATGGGAAACTTAATTTGGAAAATGGCTGGGTCTGGATGACTGATAACTGTCAGAGCAGACTATATTTCTGTGCCAAAGGACATTCAATGAAGGAACTGCTGAAAAGTGTTCTTTTACCTTCGCTCAGCTACTTATTCAGGAATACTGAGCTCATTTTTTCAGAATGAACAAAGAATCCAGAATATCTATACATCTATCCCTAGGTCTTACAAATTTAGTGTGATGATGGGTTTAATATCCCTGGTTTTATACATACATATTCATATTCATATACATATACATCTTCCTGCTTCTCAAGTCTAGTAATTTTTGATCATGTTACACTGTTGAGAGATTAGATTTTGTTTTCTTTCTTCAAAAGCTGTTGATTTTTGTTCGGGCAGGCAGTTTATTTATTTATTTATTTTTTTAAAGATTTATTTATTTATTTATTTATTTATACAAGCACTGTGTACAGTCAGAAGCGCGGGAGGGTGAGAGAATTCACCAGAGCCAGAGCAGGGAGCAGAGCAGGCAGACTGACGAAATCCACTGCTGAGGGGAGCAGCGGGCGGCAGGAGAGGTCTGCGCGCCATGTGGGACCCTCCTCTGGTGGCCGGGGAGCAGCCGGGGATCGAACTGGCACTGCAGAGGCCGCGGGCAGCTTCGCAACCCAGCGCTCAACCGCTGCGCCACCGGGGAGGCCCCAGGCAGTTTATTTATTGGTGGGTCAGCATATGTCTGTCATGGGTTGAATTTAACTGTTGTGAAGGCATATCTCCAATCATGCTTATCCTAAGGCTAAATAGCCCTACTCTTTTATTTTTATATTTTTATTTTTATTTATTTTCTTTTGGACAGTATTTAATTTTTCCCCTTAGGTATTGTCTCTGTAGTTCTCTCTCTTGAGGCATTTATTATCTAGGATCACAACCAAATGCCCTAGGTGTTTAGTGAGATCTTTCAACTCTTGCAGTTGGACTAGGTGACTTCTGGAATCTCTTTTTTTTTTTTTGTTCACAGTTCTCCAGTCACTTCCAGGTATCTAAGTCTTAGTGCTCATGTTAAGATTTAAAGGGATCCCTATGAATATTTGTTGGTTCCTTTGTCTAAGGCGTTCCCTTCTCTCCAGTTCCACAAACTCTAGCTCCTTCTGTTGCCCTGAACATCATTCTTTTCTATCTGACTAGTGAGGTCACAACTCTCTAGTTAACTTTGTTTCCTTGTGTCAGTTCAGAGAGTGCGTCCAAGGCTGAAAGCCAGAGTAAACATGAAACTCACCTGTTTCTCTTCTTCAAAACCCATGGCTTATTCTTAAAATAAGTAGTTATAATATTTTATCTCTGAACCCTTGAACCTCACCAACTGCTGTGGAATCATCATTGTCATCTTCCTGAAGGCCATGGGGATGGCATGGATGCAGAATTCCCAAGGAAAGACCTTGGATAGATAACCTAGGAGATAAGTAGGAAGAGTCTCTGCAAAGGTTAGAATCAGAAATGGATACTTCTTTCATCACCTGGCAGTCTATGATTCATGACTTGGAGCCACCAGTACAATTGGACATTCATGCTTAATCACAATTATTTTCATAATAAAATTACACCAGTGGATCACAGTACCCATGAAGTACATAGATGTACTACATCTGCACTGAAGTCTCATGTAGGGGTCACATGTGAAGTAATCTCAAGGCAAAGCACTTGGGCTTGAAAAATATTTGCTTCTGCATTATTGACATCTTGAGACTTTGTTTTTCTTTAGGAAGAGCAAGAAACTGTTATTACTATCTCTCAGGACAATACAATCACACATCAGCTCTCAACCCTGTTGGTTACCTTGGCAAGTGTCTGATGTTTCCTTTGGCATCTCAGTGACTGAGTTGGGAGTGGACAAATTGAGTGAGATGCATATATGCATCAATCCACATTTTGTTCAAGAAGTCATGGGAGAATTAAAGTGGAGCAGAACAGGTAGTACATTAAATAAAAAGAGAAACTAAGAATATGGTCTCGTCTAGTAAAATTCTACTTTGCATCATATTAATTAATAGACAGATGGAAATGGTTTTTATTTTCTCTAATGCATGCTTATTAAATACACCATTTTATTTATTACCTTAAATAAAATGTATTCTTATGTTCTCTAACATTTTAAAAATTTATGATTTCTTAGAGATTTTTACAGCTCTGCATAAAATTTTAATTTATTTTATAGCTGTCATAGTTATCAAGACTCTTAGTTTTAACTTTGCTAATGCTTGGGGAACAGAAGTTTTAAAATTCCTTTTATTCTCAAATTTGTTCTACTTTAATTGTTCTATTCCTTGTTAGAAAATTCTCATTCCTACAATTTTACAACAAAATATATTTTCTGATTTTACTTTAGTTTTTGAATTATCCAGAATCATTTTATCGACAAAATATTTTGTCGATATGAATATGAATATTTTGAATATTTTGTCGATATGAAATATGAATCTAAATTACCTTTTATCCATATTGTTACAAATTATTCCAAACTCATTCTGTTATTGATGAGAGTTATTATATTTGTACATAAGGCAATCAATGTTTTAGATTTCCTATTGGTTGCACAGGTCTATATTTTATTTCCTAAAATATATTCCAATATCACATACAATTAACCAAACATTCTTATAATCATTTTAATTTCAAATTTGAGAATATCATTTGAAATCTTCATAGATCTACTTCCCACACTGATTTTTGTATAATTGTATTTAAGCAAATAAAACATAACCAGTTATGTTCAAAGATGTTTATAATAGCATTATTTTTAAGTGATACAAATTTTACATAAATATCAAATAATATTAGAGTAAATTATTCCCTAGCCTTAAGCATCATAGAACTACTAAAGTATTATAGACAAACATTAGTAGCTTAGAAAAATTTCTTATTAATGAATTTAAGTAAAAATGATAGAACACCTTGCTCTTTACATACAATGATCCCTGTTATAAATTTTATGCTTATATTCAATCATGTATTCATTGAAGTAATTGTTGAAACTTCTATTATGGGTCAACCACTATTTTAATTTCAGTGTTGAGGTTAACAAAGCATATAGCAATCCTTGCCCTCATGGAACACCCACAAGGGCTGGAGCCAGCTCAAACTAGTTTACAAGAGCAAATTGTGAAATTGTTAGGAATTTTGCAAGCCAGCTGTCTTTGGCAATTGACCACACTGGGGAGCACTGAAGATCAGGGCCCCCAGCTCACCCTGTCCTGTCCTGAAGAGCCAGTTGTTACACATTTACCAGGCACTACTGGGGGAGTCCACTGATGATGAAGCTAAGTAAGTCAAAGATATATATGTGTTTGTATGCATGTATATGTATATATATATATATGCACACATATGTGTATTATGTATATGTATATACATATATGTATGTGTGTATGCATATATGTATATATACACAACTATATATATATATCTCAAATTGGATGATAATAAATATTAAAGAGAAAATTAAAGCAAAATGTAGGATTAGATTTGCTCAGAGCTAAGGAGATAAGGAGTTTTAGAGAAGGTCATCAGAGCTCACTGAAAAGGTGACAGACAGAGGACTGGCCCTTGCTCCTTACAAAATCCCCCTGAGTTCATCACTGAGTTGGGGAGGGGGAACCATAAACATGAAGATATGAACACTATAATAAAAGATGTGTAAAATATAGCCCTTGCGAGAATCCATAATATCTCAGCCACAAAACTGAGTTAATATTCCTCTGTGTAGCTCAGCGTTTCTTATTTACTTTGCCTAGCAAGGCAGTTATGGTCTTCATCTTTTTGGAGCATTGCCTCTGAGAATTTTACTTAGGATCTTATTTCCAAGGAAAGAATTATAAACATCCCAAGGTGAAAATATCTAGTTGTATTTTATAAATTTGCATAATGGTTCATTTCCAGAACCTGGTAGGTTGATTACCCAAGGAATCCACTTAGGGAAAAAGCACTGTTTGGATTTGTTTGCATGATATTCAACACAAATCCATCTCACCCAGCAGCTATCAAATTATTCCATTTTCTATAGAAACTTATTTTTCTAGCCACTATAATGATCACTTTTTATAAATCAAATCATTGTATTTATTCAGTCAAACTGCTTTGGTTATTAAAATGACATAAAACATTCTGAATAGCATTGAAACCAGGGCATAGAGTGAGTTACAGGAAATCACGGAGAGTAATTGGCTCCAAAGTTTACTTGTCTTACAAATATTTTTTCTGCCTCCATCATTTAACATTTTCTCCTTGACATTACTTGATTGAACTCACACAGATTCTATCCCTCCAAGGAAACATCCCACTTGGGCAGTGTGAACTCTGAAAGGTCACATCTTTTGGAGCTATCTGCCGCCAGAAGAATGGCTTCCATTTATTTTTAAGTTGAAAAAGTTTATTTTTTTCCTGTTCATGAAACTAAAAAATGCCCAGAGTAATTTAACTCACACTGACCAAACAGAAAAAGCACGTTTAAGCAGTGACAGGACCCAGAATGTCTGAGTTTGGATAGAGAATTATTTGGAACTTTCTTTTGGAAGCCACGTTGCCAAATGATGGATTTTGTCTCAAAATCTGAACTTTGTTTTTCTATTGCAATTTCTAAACCAAGGAAACTTCGAGCAGAAAGGCAAGAATTCCCTTAGAATTGCAAAAAGATCAGACCAGTGGTCCCCATACCTTACCTATGGGATAATTCCTATCTGCCTAACAAAAGGAAAAAAATGCAGGGAACTGTTAACCCCAACTCACATGTAATTGTACACCATTGTTGAAGTTCTGAAGTTAGAAATGGGAATGAAATCGCAAAGCAAAATAGCATCATCAGAACTGACAGATGCCATTTCTAAGCAGTGGCTCCGTTCTGAACCCCCAAGTCAGACCAAAGATCAAAGGACTCAGAGAGTAGGGAGGGAAGGGCATTCTTAGCTCTGGAAGCCCCACATGGAGAGGGACAGATGGTTTTGCTCTTTCCTTCGGAGGCTTAAAAGGCTCTCCAAAGTTGGGAGGCTAGGGCCTGCTGCCTGACTCATGCTTAAGAACCTAAAGCAACTGGTGTACAAGATGGATGAGACCAGGGGAGGCCCAGTCGATGCCAAGGATTGCTTGGGGCCCAGGACCAGTACACTTCCTGGGGACCAGATGTGGGTCACCGAGGAAAAAGAAACAGAGTGGCAGGTGTTGAGTTCAGTCCAAAGGACCACCTGGGAGAGACAGAGGGAACAGCAGTAAGAATGCACTGAGTCTTAGGTGTGGAGGAAGGCGCCCCAGCAACCAGCTGGAATGAACGTGCATCTGTCTTGATTTAGTATTTCCAATAAGGACTCCCTGAGGAACTCTCCATAGTGCCAAGAGGAGAAAAATCCATTTTTACCACCTTCCAAGCTCAGAGAGAACAAAGTTCCAGCTGGTGGGGGGCTGTCCATCTCTGATAGCTCATAAGTCCTTCCCCTTCCCTCCTTCAAACAGCACCTAGGAAGGCAGGGGTCGGGTAGATGAGGGCAGAAGCTGCCTACACTCTCTCCCTTAAGCAAGCCCCACAGGGAAGGGGGTTAGAAACCTGGGCTTTTAATGAAGAGCAAAGCTTTGGAATCATATCATCAGTTGGAGGATTTCTGACATGAACCTTGCTTAAAGATCATAGTCATCTAGACCACTCTGCTACCCAATCCAGACCTGATACTGGAGGCACATATCAGCACAGTCATTCAGACTGGTAAAAGAGCTATTATTAAAATAGTTATTATTCTGAGCCCTAGCCACTCCCCAACCACCCAGCTTGCCTGCAGGACCCCCAATTTAGATCATATAATTGGTTAATTATTAACCAAGTACAAAGAAATAGCTAAGTCCTGCTGTGCTGGAAGCCATATAAAGTGATGAAGCAGCGTCACCACATGCTGGGGTTCCTGCTCAGGGTTCCTGACACCACATCTCTGGCTGAAATATGTGGGATCCCACACATTAATTTTATCCAGACCTAATGTGTTTCCTTACATAAAGCCATACCTAGGAAGAGAGGCTCCATGAATGTACCAACACTTCCCCATCATCGGAGTTACAATGAAGCCTGCAAAGGAGCCTGGGAGCTATCCTGAGGTTCCCAGAGTCTATTGCAGATGCACCTGTCTGCAGGTGGAGCCTTTGTTCTACCCTAGTCCCCACTGGAGTCCACTTTTTGGACATTCAAACTTGTCCTTCATAGGTTACACAACTGTCCCTGCCATTTTAGAGTGTCCTGATATCTAAGCTTTACAAAGCAGACATTGCATCTGCCCACTGTGTCCTGCCTACCTTGCAGAACCTACCTCTGTCCCTCCAGGTTCAATTTCCACCTTTTCACAGTCTGTGTTTTGGAAGTTGCTCCTTTGTAACTGTCCAAGAAAGAAATTTTCTTAGTTCCTATTTTTCTGAAACTCATTATTCCTTCAGTTTGGCATTAATTGTGGTGTTGAAGAATCTTTTCTCAATTTCAGACAATATAATCAATGTAATCGAAATGTATCTTTTTCTTCCATGCTCTCCAATTTTAGTGGATTTATTACAGTTCTAATTTTATTCATTCTTAGAATGATTGAGTTTCCTAGAAATGAAAATATATGTTTTTCTTGAAATCTACAAGATTCTTTGCCATTATCTCTTTGAAGAGTGCCAGTCCTTCCTTATATTTGCTTCATTCTCCTTCCAGAACTCACATATCCAGGAACTGGCTCACTCTATTCTGTGTCTCTAAACTGGTCTTTCTATTTTTCTCTGTCTACTGTTTTATTTGACTTCCTCAGAGCTAACTTCCAATTTACTCATCCTTCAGCTGTGTTCAAAACTGTGCTTTAAACTGCCCATTGAGTTTTTATTTTCAATAACTATATTGTCACCTAAAAACATCTATAAGTTTCCCTTAAA